ATGATTGAAAGTAACCTTTAGCCTAATTTATATGGCACCAGAGAGACTTGGTCTTTGGCCCACGAACAACTTGTGGCCAGTGTCATTGGTTTCTCCTTCTTTTCTTTTCAATAAATGGTAAATCCACCCTGCTCTGAATACTTCTCAGATGATTCTAGAACCCTAAATGTTCATCAGTTTGTTATTTCACCTGCAGAGTAGAAAGCAAAGGCTTATGTTCTATTGAGATTGAAATTAGAAGGTGGCTTGATGAGAATAGCTTAAGAGAGGCTCCTGTCTCTCAGTTATTTAAAAAGTCCTCTTGACGCCTAGGCAGCCAAGGAAGGATGAAGAAGGGCTGTGTTCTGCAGCCAGGGTGTCCTATTTCAAAACCTGGCAGTGCTGTGATGGAGACCTATGTTTTGTCTGAAGCTTTTCAGACATGGCCTAGAAAACTGTTGAAACCCCTTCAATGTAAGCCCAGTGGAGGAGGGAAGAGATGTTAAACCGGGCAGTCTTTCCATTGAAACTGTAAGGTTCTTGAGGGTACAATGACTCTTAATCTATTCATTCTTTTGTTTTCTTCTGAGAACCTAACACTGTGCTATACACAGACAGCTTGTTGAATAGAATCAGATATTTAGTGTTCTCTCTTTTATTAGTGTTGAGAATCCAGAAAGTCTGTTTGTACCAACATTTGGACTCCTGTATCCTATTCTCAAGCTTCTATCCTTGAGTTTATCTCAATAATAATATCTTGAGAGTGGCTTGTCAATACAGTTTTATCATATAATTTTACCTTAAAGATTCTATATCCAGAATTTGAATTTCATGAATAAAATTTCCAAAGTAATAGGTTAACTTACTGTAAACATACTAAACTTCAATAGCAATACTATGACCTCAAAAGTATTCACTAGTACCTATAGCCATGATGAGCAAGGAGATTGGGTTTTGGAGGGGGAATACCTAGTTGGGACTGACAAAACCTGAGGTCATTTTGATCAAGTCTCTAAAGAAAACTTTGATTATGTAAGAACCTATGAGTTTATTGTGGTAATGTACTGACTCAGATATGCAAAGTGATAACACAATACATGGCATAAGTATTAAACATATACCTTAGAAATATTGGTTATTCTTTTTACACTTGGTTATTTTGGTCATTTTTTTCTAAAGCAAGTGACAGCGGGGGGCCTGGCCCGTGATATGTTGGTGCTCCCATTGTCTTCTCTTCAAAAGTTCAAAGCTCTCCAGAGAATATCTGCCAACTCCATGGGGATTTTCATAGTTACCTCTGATATAATCTGCTGAGTTTTGCATAGGAGGATAAACAAATCCTTGTCAAATCATCCAAATCTCCTTTCTAATCGTTTAGAGCATATTCCTCAAGCATTCTTCTTAGTGGAGTTTTTTCTCACAATATTTATCATTAAATGTAGATTTCCTTTCCTTAAATTGCTTCTTTCTATGAGAGCTTTTGATCCTCTGGTTGCTTCTGAAATTTTTTTTTTTACCATGTTTCAGTAAAATGAGTGGTCAAGCTCTCAAGCTTTTGCCAAGTTACAGCCTCCATTCTGCTTAGACTGGAATCTTTCCTTTCTCAGGGCCTGCCTATGGCTGTTGTGTTACAGCTTCTGATCTCTGTTTGGAGGCTCACTGGCTAAGTCACTAGTAGAGTCTTTATGTGACTTGCTACAGTAGGCAATTTGCAGTTCTCTTCGCCCTCTGTCTGGCGACAGTATTTGACATAAATATCTCCTCTGTCTTAAAAGAGTTACTCTGCTTTTTCACTGCAGACTAAATCTCTGGTTATAATATCTGGCCATTCCTGAGACTGTTTTTCAAATTCTTCCTCTTCCTGAGATCTGTGAACATTAGTTCTTCATACTTTTCTTCCCTACTCTCCAGGGTCTTCCTAGGTTATCTTTTTTTTTTTCATGCCAAAGACTACACTTCACTCTGCAAATGTAAGAAATCACTGGTGTCAGAGGCACCAGGATTTTTATATCCCACAAAGGAAGAACAGCTCTAATTAAATGACACGAGGATATGTAATCATAGTAATTATGATGGATAGAATTTATTTTCAGAGCTGTCATTCTCAGAACTCTCAAGATGTGAAAAATGTACAACCAAGAATTCAGAATGGGGTGCATAGAATAAATGTCATTTCCACTGCATGAACTCATGTAGTACCTTCAGTAATGTATGTAGATGAATTGTAAGAACTTTGCTCCAAGAAATGAGTAGTTTCCTGAATCTTATCTCTGCAAGTGTGATAGAGGCTTTATTGTGGTGTAGCTTTTTATATGAATTAGAATCAAGTTAGCTGAACAATGAAGCATGGTTTGTTGCGCCAGCAGGTCTTCAGTATGGTACTAGAAGCCTGAGATTTATTTCATTTTAGGTAATCTGGATATCTTAGTATAGAAAACTGGTATTTTCAGGCAGTTCCAAGAAGATTGCAATTGAGGAAAGACTGAAGGTTTCCAGAATGCATAGAATCCACTGTTATATTTCAGATACTGGTTCACTCTTTCTGAAGTACTACCCACCCAATTAGTGCTGAAGACCTGCATCTTTTAAAAACAAAAACAAAAACAAAATCCTCAAACTTCCACTTTATCATTCCAGTTAACTCCTTTCATTTTCACTCTGTTTTTGGCACTTTTTGCTTTTGGGGATGCATATTTTTCCAAAATTAAGGATAAATAGCACAAAGATTTAAACAAAAACGTACTTGAAACTACTGAAGGGTTCTTTGCATCTATTGAGCTGCAGAGAGTATACATACAGGAATTATTTTTTTGAAATTTTATTTAATTTTACATATGTATATGTACATAAAACATGCTTGGTCAAAACCATGTGTGATAAATCTGAGAATTAGTCAACATTACTGTTTATACCACCAAATGGCCCCTGAATATTTCTAAGATGACAAAATTTAAATTTTTGTATTTCTTTTTGTTGTTGCACATCACTGGGAAATCACAGAGTGTTTCCCTCATGTTCTTTCCTCACTCTTCCAAACTTCAAAATTGCTTTTGACAGCTCTGGGACCTGTAAGAACTGTTGCCATATTTTGAAATTTAATTTTCCTACACTATCATCCAAAGTTAACAAAAGGACATGGAAAAATCCTATTAAATATTCCTTTCTGCCAACATTTATGTACCTTATTCTATTCCCCTAGGGTTTTCTAAAAATAATTTAAGTGGTATACTTAAATTACCCTCTTTCACTTTTGTAGGGAAAATAATCTGTTCTCAACCTTTCGTCTCAGAAAACATTATTTATGATCAATATTATCTATGGTCAATATACTATTCAATAAAGTTTTGTTCCCCTAGGAGCAGAAAAGTTATTTGTATTCCATTATTATATATTGTTATCTGGTATAGTGCCCCTGGATTTGTGCTTTGCTTAGACATATTTTAGCATGCAAATTACATTTTTTCCCCTCAAATAGTTTACAATGACATTGGCTTTAATTTTCTCCTTCTACTACTCTTATAATATCCTTCTTATAGATAGTTCAAAATAGAATTTTTAGTAACAAAATTTTAAATAAAATGATGTGGGAAATGAAAAGTACACTCCTTAAAAATTCTTGGCTCAAAGAAGTAAAAGCTGGAATTAGAGGCTTTTTAGAAAGTAGGAAAAATAGGAACACCAATACCACAAACAAAATTTGTAGGTTGTAGCCAAAAATTTACTTAGAGGAAAATGACTGAATTTAAAAAACTGTATTATTAACCAAAAATAATGAAAATTAATGTGCTATTAAATCTTAGAGTTTAGGGGGAAAAACACAAACCACATGATATGATATCATGCAAAGGTAGATATTAAAATATTAAGAAAGAAATATGGAATTGATAAATTCAGGACTTTTTATTCTGAAGAAAAACCTTTACCTATATAGTCACAAAATGTTTAAAAACATAATTCACAATATTAGGAATGAGAGGAGAGAAAATGAGTTCTAGCCATCATGATTATTGTGACAAATCCTGCAAAGGGTTGAAAAGACTATAAGAATTTGAAAATCTGCAAAAAGAAGATAGTTTATAAGGAAAGTAGGTTTTAACTGAATTGATAAATCTATAACTGCATAAGAAATAAAAATCATTATTAAAAATTTCATAGCCATAATTAATTCAGTGGATAGAATTAGCTCTGTTTTATTATAGAAGTCACTGTGTTCAGCCCTACACATGATCTACAGAGATTGTGTTATTCCCATTGCATTTTTTGTTGGTATGATCTCAGTGTGCCTATTCATAAAACAGATGAATGCATGATCAAAGGTGTTTCTAGACAGCTCTTTCAACAGCCTAGGTTTTAGTTCAGTGAGAATTCCATTCACTACAAAAATTTTATTATATAAATGAATGTAAAGATCTCAAAGTAGTAGGATTATTTAAATATATTTGTCTTTTGATATTTTTTCCTCCCATATGAACATTTATTTCATACTATATTGCTCAATATTCACATTTTAGTATTTAGCCCATATTATATTTATTTCATAATACTTTATACAAAATTAGACAACCACAAAAGCTTTAGAAACAAAATATTGTTTCCTTTTTTAGGATATATTTTGCACATAGTCATTGGGTAAACTCAGAATTTTAATTTACTATTTGCTTTAAGTTGGAAATTGTATATAATTGCAATGAAATAAAAAAACACTTGACCCCTTTAAACTCAAAGAAATACATAATACCTATTAAGAATCTTGTGGTCCATTTAAAATCATGTTTTAATAACTGGTGAATTTTTATTTTTTGATATAAATTATGTTCTTTTTTTTTTTTTGCGGTGCTGGGGTTTAACCTTGCGCTTGTTAGGCAGGTACACTACCATTTGAACCATTCCAACAACCCTATTTTGGTGTTTATTTGAGTAGTTCTCAAAATTATATTTTAGACTAGGCATGAAATACCTACTATTTTGTGACTAACTCTCTTGCTTTCCTAAAACTTTTTCTATCAATCTGATTTTTCTAGGTTGAAAATGTACGCTTGGTAGATCGAGTATCTTCTAAAAAGGCAACACTGGGTACTTTGTATTTGACAGCCACCCATGTTATATTCGTGGAAAATGCACCTGACACAAGAAAAGAAACATGGGTATGCTTTCCTTATTTTTGGCTTTACATGTTTCCCATTATTGAGTAGTTTTGACCCTCTTAATTTTTCCATTTCTACTCAGAAATGAGGTAACTGAACTGTTGGTGTTCTAGTGTTCAGGGGATTGTTTCTGGAATGTGCTTTGCCTTTTTCTAAGAATATACTGAGTCATAACTACTTTATTTGTTCATTCTGAACACGAATTATTTGGATATCATCAAAGACATAGCCTGAAGATTCGAGTGCTTCATGTCATAGCTATCAAGAAGATGTTAAATAACATAAGTGTATGGGAGAAGGCATTTCCATAGTAATTGATTTGCTATATGATATTTACCCTATCCTATAATTTAGCCAGTTGGTCATTTTCCTATGTGTCTCTAGTTTTCTAGGATTTTTAAAAGAAAAGAAATATAGAGAGGAATCAGGTGTTTCTGCTCCTTAATAATGAAACCATTAAGCATTTCCTACTTTCTACAGCATGAAATTATGACCAGATCTAAAAACCTTAACTGTAGATTTTCTCCTTCCTATATGAATTGTGTTACACGTTAGAGGTTGGCAAGCACTATCATGGAAATGAACTTAATGCAATGCTGCCATGAGGACCAGCCATAAATCTCTCTGAAACACCAGAGATGGACTTTATTATGGTTTGTTTTCAAATAAATATCTTCCTTATGGAGTAGAATGATGATCATCTGATCTTGGCAGCTAAGCAGGGTTGGGTCTGGTTATTACATGGATAGAGGAGTATTATGGTAGATATTGAGTGTTGGAGGTGGGAGTGAGAAGGAAGAGAATGGAGTATTGCTGATCAAAAACACTTCAGATAGACAGGGGGAATAGGGTTTGATATATTTGGCATAGCAGTGCATTATAGTCATTAATAATATATTTCAAAATAACCATGAAAGTAAATTATGGATGTTTCACTATGAAAAGTGATAAACAACATGATGGATCTATTACCTTGATTTAAATGTTCCATATTTTATATATATATATATCAGTCAAAGCATCATGTTGTACCCTGTAAGTATATATAATTATAATTTGTCAGTTGAATATTGTATTAATAAAAAAACTAAGAAAATAATTCTTTTTCGGGCTGCCTGGTCACCACCAGCTTAGAAAACAAGTATCTCAAGTTGCTGTTGACTTTCAGCATTCCATGTGGAATTAAGGAGCAAGTTGGTACCTCCCCATGGAGCCATCTCCAGCTTTTCTTGATTGCAAAAGTTTATTTTACTAACTTCCCATGACCTTATTTAATTTTAGCTAATACATGCATTTGGCATTTGACCACTAAAATAGTCCCTTACTTGAAGTTGTTCAAATTTACATGCTGAATGATTTACATCAGAATAATTATTCTGGATGTCAGAAAGCTAGGTATCAAAAACTAATTATAGATTTAGACAATTGATTCTTACTTGGAACTTCTCAGTTCTTGTTACTTGAGTTCAGTGGTTGAGCTAGTAAAAAATTGGGGAATCTTATCTGTTTGTGTGACTCAAACCCTGTTAGTTCTTGTTATGTGTTATTCATGCTTGGTGATCCAAATTAATCTTTTGGTTCTAAGATTCTTCATAGTCAGATTTCCACCATTGAGAAGCAAGCAACAACTGCTACTGGCTGTCCTCTGCTTATTCGCTGTAAGAACTTTCAGATCATACAACTCGTCATACCACAGGAAAGAGATTGCCATGATGTGTACATCTCTTTGATCCGCCTTGCACGGCCAGGTAGGCAATAGAACTCACATTAATCATGGACCACTCCCTGAAAGTCGCAAATTGTATTCAAGACTTTGTGCAGTGCTTAGGAATGACAGTGTTTGGGGATGCTATGTCATCTCATCCTCAAATCAGGCTAAGTTTGAATGATCACGCAATATATACTTCCTCAGTTACTTACCATCTGGGGCTGTTTTATTAGTCTTAGTATTCATGTATACTTTGTAGATGTCTAATATGTTTTCCTCTGAAGTGAAATCACCATAAAATTATGCCATGTGGATCCTCTGATAATTGAGCTACCTTGAAAGACACCTAAGGCAGAACTAACTGTTCGGTGTGGAGTACATTGTTCTCTAACATTTCCAGTGTATTCTTGACCCTTTAAAGGTTTAGTCTTCATTAGTTTTTGATAGTTATATGTGTTTTCCAGCAAGGGTGCAACTAACTAGACTTTTGTCAGCACCAGTGACAATTTAAAGTATGTATATGTTCATTCTCTTAAACATGGCCTTCTTACAGGTAATTAGAAGAAAGCTTGGATTTGAAAAAAATTAGCTCTCTTGCTTACTGTCTTATTCTAGCCCTCATGTGAGGGTCTTCAGAGAGATATACACTTACACAAAGCATTTTCTGTCTCTGTGTGACTTATGGAAGATGTGGTATTCTTTTGCTTAAAAGAAATACACTTCTACGTTTGTTTTTATTTTTGTGTTGGGGGGTGTTGCACAGAAGTCATCAACAAGGGAAATAAGATGCGTATTTATAATGACTCTGTCATATCTGTTTTGATTCAGGACTGGGAGTTTATTTGTGAACTTTTCACAACCTTTCATTGGGACTTGAGTTCCTTGTGATATGTCCTAATCATTTGGAGGTAGCTAAGAGTCAAAATGAGTCTGTGGAAATGATCTCTGGGTGCCATAGATTCTGATCATTTTGACTTTACTATGTTCCTTTTTAAAGGCAGTTAGTTGAGACTGTTTTTTCCTCCTCTCTTAAGTGTGTTGAAAAGAACTGCAAAGTAAGCCAGAAAAGCAGTTGAACTTTTTGAAGGGTGTACTATAATTGGAACAGAGTTCTGGGAAGATGTACATTAGGTTGCATGCAGCAGAGAATGAGAGGAGAGTTGTATGCCAGCAATTTCTGTGTCACTGATTAATGGGTGTGCTGGTAATAAATGTGCTCTGACTGGATTAATGGGATTTAGGAATAGCCCCAAGAACTGGGAAAGGGCTGAGCAGCTGGGAGAACAGATCACAGGGGTGATTGAGGCCCAGAGGCAGCAAGTGCTGGGGCTCTCATGTGAGGATCTGAAACCACTGTGTTTTTCTAATTTTAAAAATGTATGGTTTTTCTTAAAAGGTAATGTTTCAGGAGTTAGGTAGATGTAGCCAGAGACCTTGTCTTTTTTTTGGCAAAAGGAAACCGTAATAGTTGAATCAGAACCATCATCTGAGAGGATTAAAAAGACATACTGGCCTTATAAATGCCAGTTTATGTAACCCATTACTTAATGTGGGAAGATGAAATGGAAGCCAAGCAGGCCCAAGTTTAACGTTAAGGACAATGATGAAGTTGGGACAGGTAACAAGCAAGGCTCTGAGTCTAGGCTCTGGTGGGGAAAGATAGAGGCTGTGAGCTATGAAGGTAGTTTTCAGTTGGGTGAAGGAGGTGGTTCTTGAAAACTGTGGATAGTTTGCAGAACATGCCTTCCTCCTCTAGAGGTGTGTGTTTGTGTGTGTGTGTGTGTGTGTGTGTGTGTGTGTGTGTAGGTTTTCTGGGATAGAGTAAATAAAATACATTAAAAACTTGAAGATATTTTTATTGGTTTGCCATTTGTATGAATGAATAAAGATGGTAAGCATTTGGTCAAGGACTACAAAAGATCCCAGTACAAAGTAATGTGACCAAATTCAGCATCTTCTTTAATTCTCAATAAAGAAATAACATGTTAAAACACAGTTTGCCTAAATGAGAAAGTAAGTTAACCCAATAGATAAATGTACTTTAATAAGTATATAAATTTTTCTGATTAAAAGACCCCTATCTCTGAGAGAGCGTCTACTTTTCCCATGGCCTCTCTGTACTCCTCCCTCTAATTTGCCTCCTGCTGTTTATTTTGGTATCAGCTAGATTTGTGGACTCTTCAACATCTAAATAATTTCTTTGTTTATTTTATTTTCCCATTTTTGCTAAATTACAGTTTTTTTAAGTTCCTCTCAGTTCCCATTTTTCTGTAACTTTTTAAATTTACAGTAGTGGGCCTTGGTTTTTGTAAAGCATATATTATACTACTAAGGTGCCTGTTTCTTCTTATTTTTTTAAATCTCACAATGAGGTAGTCTCATTTGCTTAATCTTTGACGTTTTTGTTCTAAGTCAACGATTTTTAGCAGTTTTTACAGTGGTGGTAATTCCTCTTTTATTGAAGATAGTTAACTGAGTCTAATGATCCTTTTCCCAAGGTGTTAACTTCAGTAGTCCTGATATTTAATCCAAACTTTGTTTAAAATAATAAAGGTGAAACACCATAATTAGGAGATGTGATAGATACAAATTCCAATACTAGCTGAGTTATCTCCCCACCCCTTTCTAAATGGCCTTTAATCTACATTTATTTTTAAGTTGCCTGAACTCAACAGAACAGAAAATTGGCTTTCAGTCATTACTGCACATTTTTTTGTTTTTCTGTTGGTGGTTGGTTTGCCGTCTTCTCACCCATACTTCACATTCTGCTGATGCTAATTCATGTTTGTTTTTCTTTCAATTTTATACCACTTTTGATTTTAAAATCAAATACCTGGGAAACAAGATAGGTTATTTTCCTTCCTTCCTTAAAGTTTTGTTTTACCCACATTTCTCTTTCCTTTGGCAGGAGAAGGAAAGGAACAAAAATTTGGTACTGATACAGGTCCATTTCAGGCTTGATGGTTCCAAATTGAGTGTTTATATTTGATCATTTTCTCTGGGAAGCAGCAAGTAGGATTATTTGAGAGTGATGGTGTTGGTGAGAACTACGGAGATTGAATTGCATTATGGTGATGCACATACTTCCTTAAATTAAGGAGACAACCATGAATAGTGTTCTAAAAACATGAGTTTCTATGTGTATCAAAGCATGCATTTCTATGTTGTTATATAGGAAGAGGTCCCATGCCCTCTTTTGTAAGAGCCCAACAGTGTATGTCCTATTAAACCTGATGATCATCAGCACAAAAAAATGTTTTATTGGATGTGACAGCTCAGACACTATGATGTGAGAAGCCAATACTTCTGCATGTCTGTCTGCTGAAGGATATGACCTTTCTAAAGCAGACATATTTTTTTTCTAAACTCAGATTCTGTAAGATGAAAGATTTCTCTAAAATGAAAAGCTTCTCCACAGCAAAAGAAAAAGTTAACAGACTGAAAGACAACATATGTATTGGGAGAAAACATTTGGAAGACATATATTATATGAGGGATTAACTATGAGACATGCATAATAAAGAATGCAGTTCTATAAGGGGAAAACATGTGGTCCAGTTAAGAACTGAGCAAAGGTCCTAGCTAGATATTTCTCAAAAAGAGACTTATGAATGGCTAACAGAGACATGAAAAATGCTTCATATCACTATTCATTAGGGAGTTGCATAAAGCACATTAAGATATCTCCTCATACATGCTAGATTGGCTGATAATGGAAAGTGAATTATTTTTCACTCTAGAAGTAAGTTGAGAAAAGAGAACCTTCTATATTGTAGGTAGGAATATAAATTAATATAGGCATTACGGAAACAGTAGTTCCTCAAAAAAATGGAACTATTATTTTAAAATAATTACCACAGGATTTGAAATCAGTATGTTGAATCCTATTTTATAGGAATTAGGAGTGGGATTGTACTGTTCACTATAGTCCAGTTATCAACCTGTGTGTCCATCAGCTGATGAATGGAGAAATAAAATGTGCTATGTGTATGTATATATATATATATATATACATATATATACACACATACAATTATGTATATATATACCACATGATGGAATATTACTCCACCTTTCAAAAGGCATAAGTTCTTCATTTATAACAATATGTATAGAATTGAAGCTATTATGCTAAGTAAAATAAACCAGACAGAGAAAGATGGATACTACATGTTCCCATTCATATTTGGCATACAAACCAATTGAATTCATAGAAGTAGAGGAAAGTATGGTATTATCAGAGTGGGGGGGAATAGGGAGCTGATCACCAAAAGGGTACAAAGCCTCATATAGTAAGTAAAAGCCTGATTAATTCTTATTTTTAAATCTATTGTATAGCCTGGTAAAGAAAGCTAATAATTGAGGAGTGTACATTTTAATATTTCTAAGAGTAAATTTCAATGTTGTAATCACAAAAGTGTTAATTATTTGAGGTGATACAAATATTAATTGATTTAATCCTACATTTTAAAATGTTAGCATCTTGTGTCTAATGAATATTCACAATGATAAATTATATAAATTATAAATTTCCAATAAATAAATTTCTTTAAGATTCTACAAACAACAATGAAAAAACCTACAAGGATTTCTTTAGCCCTAGATTTTCTTTTTATCTTCTCTGCTGACTGCTGTAACTTCTGCTATGTATGTAATAGAAATTGGATGTGAGAAAAACAGAAAATTATGAATTGAGAAATATTCAGTGAAATTTACATCTGTGCTAAGGATACTTGAATTTCTCACAGTACACAGTGTTCTGGCTTCTTTTAGGCTGACCTTGGGTTAACACAACTGAGATTTGGTTAACAAGAGTAGAAACCTTCCTGTCCTGATGAAGAATTGTACTTAAATTGGATTTGAGGATCAGCTAGTCACCCTTATCCTAAAAAAAAATGTGAAAGAAAAACAAATGGGATAATTTCAATGTCAACCTGTTCTAATATCTCTCAGCCTGAGTGATCTTCGTGTCTTCTTTGAATTTTTCTTGTTGTAGTTTATGTACAGTTTCACTGTCACTTCCCAATAGAAGTAAGCATCAGCTCCTACATGGAGAACTGCCAATAGTCATGGAATGTTTTTCTTCTTCCACCTTTAAACCTGTTTGTAAATATTTAATAAAGAAAAGTTAACTTCCATTATTATTCCATATTTGTAAGCTCTTCTTTCACTGAGGGAACAGAAACTTTCTCAAGAGATTCTTCTGGCATCTTAAACAAATTGCATTTGCGGTTAACATTATGGTAGCAGAAGCCTGAGTCATGAAAATGGTACTCAGAGATGGAAAGGATGTGTCAGTGTTGAACTAGCTGTTCCCAGAACATGATCTCATATTTGTGTGTGTGTGTGTGTGTGTGTGTGTGTGTGTGTTGTGTTGTCCTTCAGTTAGCTAAGATGACAGCAAATTATCATCTTGCTGAAAGTTTTAGCTTTGTTATTTGTATGTTCTTGCACCTGTATGTAGCATTTTGTTATTTGATCAAGTAATGTTCTCAGTTTTAAAGTTAAGAAAGGTAATAGCAAGAGAGACTAATATAGGTTACAATTCAGTTATGTCAAATGAAAAAAAAATGGGTACTTAAAATTATTTTATCTTTCTTTAAAAACATTTCCCTTATCTTTCTTCTTTTATGTGGATGACTCGACTCTAGAGCAATCAAACAAGTTTGAAACTGAGTTTTGATCTTAAGCTGAGAACCTTCAGGGGGCCTCCAAACATATCTCAAGAAACACTAAATTTTTGTTGCTGGGTACAATCACCAGTTGAGTAAATGAGAGAACCTAGGAAAACTATGAGGAGATAGTGGTGGGAAACATTAGAGGGATGGAATGAGGAAAGTAAAGGAGGAAGGAAGGAGCTGCCGTGGTTATGGGTGTGGCATACAGTTATGATGATACAGTACCTTGGTAGCTATGGCCACAGGAGGCTCTTTAGCACTTAAAATGTGACCACATCTGAAGAGGTATCAGTGTAAAATACACAATCAAAAACAAGCAATACAAATGAAAAACCAAGATATGAAGAATATTAATGCATTTCATACTATGTACATGTTGAAATGATAATAGTTTGGACATACTGGATTAAATAAAAAGCATTTCTAATTTTCCCTCTTCCATTTTATTTTTCCATGTAACTACAAGGATATTTAAATGGTTTACATAGCTTGCATTATATTGTTGGGTTTGGACATATTGTATTGTTGGTTTAGACACTCCCCTTGTATGACAATATTAAAGCATTAACAAAAACCAAATTTTATATTTTATTGGGAAAAGGGAAGTGTTGAGGCTGTTGGCCTCACCAAGCATAGATAATGCATAAAGACAGAAACACTGAAAAAACTGAAAGATTTTCCCCATGCATTCTTCAACTTGTAATCTATGCAGAGGCTGCTGTGCATCATGAATTAATGTTTCTTATGAATACTAAACAAGTCTTATGATCAGCACAATTATAATGTATATGAAGTTGTTAAAGTTCAAATGTTTTTAATGCAAACATACCACATAATTGCTAGCTTTTGGAACTGTTTTAGTGAAAATGTGGAAGTAACCTGGGGCTCTATCCACTTTTGAAAAGCCACTTCACTCTAAACTGGAACTTAATATGTACACATAAAAAAAGAATTCCTGATGTCTACTGAATATGTACACTCTATATTCATTCCATATTCCTCTTAAGGTAATTTTTTAAAAAGGAACTGGGGAAGGCTCTATTTGTTAAAAGGAAGAAGTTGTTGCATAGTAAAGTCCAAATACTGAAGGCCTTCTTTCTCATCAAGGCTGGGTGACCTTGTCCACAGAGGCAGGGCGCTCCTGGGACTGTGCCAGAGGTGGGAGGTTAACTCCAGCTGGGACAGAATGTTTTGGGGGATATTTGGTTCTGGCTTTGACTTAGCTTGATTTGGCTTTCTTCTTTTCTTGCAGTGAAATATGAGGAGTTGTACTGCTTTTCATTCAACCCCAAGCTGGATAAAGAAGAAAGAGAACAAGGTTGGATGCTAATCGATCTTGATGAAGAATACAAGAGAATGGGCCTCCCCAATAATTATTGGCAGCTAAGTGATGTGAACAGAGACTACAGAGTGAGTGGAAACATTTAGTCAAATCCAAATACTTAAACCATGTGAAATTCTGATTTCAGATAGCTTTGCATGGCCTTAATGTCCTTGAGATTTTGTAGCCCTTTGGAGATAGTGTGAGTTTCTTGGTCTCCTACGGTTATTGCTGGCTTGTTCCCTACCTGTACCTAAAGTCAGAATGTCTGAGCAAGAGGAACCCCTTCCCCATCCCCCATGAATACTCCTCCTAAAAGGGTTGAGATTCAGTGCAGATCTTGTGGACAGGCAGTTGGCTGGGAGTTGACTGGGAGCTGAGTCTCCCATCATGTCTTTTTATAGCACCGGAGTGATTAGAAGGGAAATCAGAGAGACTGATGGCAGTTTGGCACCAGGTCCTTGATGTGCTCACTGGACTCTTGATTGGTACACAAGGTCAGCAATAAGTTCCCCAGAGAGATGTGGAGATATGTGTCTGCACTTGCAGAAAGCACTATGCAATGCAAAGGAGCGAACAGGAGTGGCAAACAAACTCCATGTTTTCCCTAGTGGTAGTTGAATATCAGAGGTGGTTTCCCTACTGATTCTCAAATATTTTAAGTAATAAAAGTAGTATAAGAACCTTGTAGAGAGTTCCTAAGAGAGAAGGAAAGAAACAGGAATATCCACCATCCCATTGCCTTAACACTCTTCCTCCCCTGCCATTTATTGTTGTTTAAGGTTTTAGCAAGGACGTATTTTAGTGTATAGAAAGATAAAGAGATGAAAAAAGTGGGGCTGGGAATGTGGTGTACTGGTAGAGTGCTTGCCTAGCATGCATGAAGCTGGGTTTGATTCCTCAGTACCACATAGAAAAAGACAGACGTGGTAGAGTGCTAGCCTTGAGCAAAAGAAGCTCAGGGACAGTGCCTAGACCATGAGTTCAAGCCCTAGGACTGGCAAAAAAAAGAGGAATGAAAAAAGGGGAAAAACATTTCTGTTCCCCATGAAGGAAATGGGAGTAAAAACTCAAAAATGGCCATTTTTATTTGTGGCCTTTGTGTACTGTATGAACTAAAAGAATGGATGGTGATGATGTTCTTATTCTTTCTTCTACTCCTTTTCTTCCTCTTCCTCTTCTCTCTCCTCCCTTCTTCTTATCCTCTTCCCTCTCCTTCTTTCATCTTCATCTTTTTCTTTTTCTTTTTTTTTGTGGTTCTGGGAATGGAACTCAGGGCCTTGTGCATTCTTAGGCATGCCTAGACTATTATTCTTTCATTAAAAAATGTTCTTTCTTTGGTTTCAGTTGTGTATTTTGATTACAGTTTTCTGTCCTAGGTAATGTTTTGTTTACCATTCATAGTGGCTCTTCTTTGAATTGCCTATTGCCATTCTTGGTCTTTTTTTTCTAAATTTTATTTGTCTTTTCCCTATTGTACATTAGTAGAACTTCTTTATGTAGTTTATCATCTTGTACAGCTGTTGAAATGTCTGAATTGTCAACACTTTTTTTTTAATCCGTTGTGGGGCTTGAACTCTGGGCCTGGGCGCTGTTCCTTGGATCTTGGGCTCAAGGCAAGTGCTCTGCCATTTGAGCTACAGTGCCACTTCTGGTTTTCTGGTGATTTATTGGAGATAAGAGTCTCACAGAGTTTCTTTGCCTGGGCTGGCTTTGAACCTTGATCCTCACATCTCAGCCTCCTGTGTAGCTATGATTACAGGTGTGAGCCACCAGCACCAGGCATTGTCAATGCTTTTTTAAAGCGTATTGTGAAAAAGGAAATTATTGTTTGCTAACCTTTGTTGAAATTCAACACTGTATAAATTCTGTAATTTCACTTTTATTAATTTGTTATTATAGTTTTGTCATATATCTTAATACCCTGTAAGTCAAGTCTTTCTATACCGTTTTTCAGTATATCATAAATTTACAAACTACTTGCGGTAAATGGATGCTCATGATACTGATTCTTCTTTGTAATTACACTTCACTCCAAGCACCATAGCCTAATTTAATCCTTGTAAAGTATCTGGCTAGTTGAATGGCAATTCCTTTGTAGAACTATATAGCATATATATATATATATATATATATATAAAACAATATAATTTTAAAGAAGATTTTATATATATAATTCTATACTAAATATATCACTCTATAACTAAAGTATAGTTTTGGGCCAATAGACATTATAAATATTAAAGAATGAATAATAAAATGAAAAAGTACCTAACTAATATAATCAGACTAAAGCCAACCTTTGCATTGAATTTTTAGCCTTGAAACAAAAGGCAAAGAAATCAAGGTTTAGTAAGGAAAAGTGTCAGTCTTTTAAGGAAAAATATGACACATACTTGGGCAAGGAAGAAAATGAAGCTGAGCTACGTGTAGTAGAATAATATGTTTTTGGAAGTATAGGTTCTTTTCATTTTTACAACATTTTCCTCTACAATTGGCACTACAAACATGACTCATGTACAATCACCGATGTCCCTAAGTTGTAGACTGCAAGAATGTGTGTTACTCAGTATTTCTTTTCAAAAGTGACACATAGCAAAACAAAGCTGTTTAACAAGCTGTTAGGGGGGAAAAAAGGGTAAAAACCTAGGGGATTTTCTTATTTTGTAAATGTTGTTGAAATAGGGGGAAAGATGATATATACTTATTCCTTAACAGTTTAGAAATAGAATAGAGACTGTGTTCTTTCAGAAAATTTCCTAACTAGTAGTTCATTGAAAGAGTTTCATCCTGATCCATTTCTTGTGTTTTTAATTTCATGGTTAAGAAAATGTGTACTTTCCCCTCCTTTGCTTTGTAAGTTATTTTGTGCTTTTTGTAAATCCTTTGAGTTAGGTGGGGCAAATGACATCATGTATTGGAGAAAAAATAATTTCCTGTGCTAGTAATTACATCATATACTGTGTATGAAAAGTTTAATCTCAAAACCAGCCCTACTATTTTCTCTTTGGTGGTCTTGGTTAGGCTTACTATTATTATTGTTATTATTACTGTCATCTCTGTTATCATTACAACCTTCTTTATGATACTTGCTTATAGTAGTATAACACTCTCTTATTTTACACCTAACCTTGAAATAATCTTTATTTAAAAAAATAGTTTATATATTTTGCTAAGTTTTTTAATTGAACTCTCATGGAGTAAATCTTAACCCACACTAATCATTTTATAAAAGCTTATTTACTTCACTTCTTTATGGCACACAATGTATGTGTTATATGTAACATTTTTATTATATATTTTGTATTAATATATTACTAATATGTGTATATCATTTTATTTACAAATAATTTATGAATTAGTTATCAATAAATTATGAGGTTCACATTGTTTTATTCCTCATTCATCATAAATTTTTAATATAAATTTTAGGTCCAAAATGTTTAAGAAGAAAATTTTGATGTTGATATATCTTAGTTCCTGAAGACAAACTCTTACTTCACAGTGTATGACTTAGTGTTCTTCAATAAATAGAGGTCTTACCAAGATCTCTTGGTCTTACCAATATCTCTTGCATGAATAATACTTTACAATGATAAATGCATTTTCTGGCAGTTTATAGCTATCTCAACAAAGACTCATTCTTCTGGGATTGTGAAAAAAAAAAACCAGAACAGTAAATACTAAGATCATTTTTTTTATCCCAGTGAATATAAAATTTGTCATCTTCATTTTAAGTGTATAGTTTAATAATACCATCGTCAATTTTTTTGCTCAATTTTTACACAGTTTTTTTTATTGTGTAGCTGTATTCATTAAAAAGAAAACAACATGCTGGGCGCAGGTGGCTTTTGCCTATAATCCTAGCTACCTACTTAGGAGGCTGAGATCTGAGGATTGCGGTTCAAAGCCAACTGGGCAGAAAAGTCCATGAGACTCTTACTGCCAATAAACCATCAGAAAACCAGAAGTGGCACTGTGGCTCAGGTGGTAGAGAGCCTGCTTTGAGCTGAAGAGCTGAGGGACAGCGCCCAGGCCCAGAGTTCAAGCTGACAAAAACAAAAGAAAAGAAAAGAAAGAAAGAAAAGGGAGAGAGAGAGAGAGAGGGAAAAAGGAAAGAAAGAAAGAGAGAGAGAGAGAGAGAGGGAGGGAGGGAGGGAAGGAAGGAAGGAAGGAAGGAAGGAAGGAAGGAAGGAAGGAAGGAAGGAAACAGAATACACAACTCCCTTTGAGCCAGGCACTGATGGCTCACACCTATAACCCTAACTTCTCAGGAAGCTGAGATCTGAGAATCTCAGTTCAAAGCCAGTCTGGGCAAGGAAGTCTATGAGACTCTTATCACCAATTAACCACCATAAAACTGGAAGTAGAGCTGTGGCTCAAAGTGGTAGAGCTTTAGCCTACTTGAGCAAAAGAGTTCAGCGACAGGGTCCAGGCCCTGAGTTCAAGCTCTACAACCACCTCCACCACCAACAAAACAAAACAAAACGAAATAAAAACTTCCTTGTTTCCTACTCACTTACATCACTTTTTGTTTACTCCTTAGTTAATGGACTGTCTGGTTGTTTTTCTCTCTTGGCTTTTATGAACACAATTATAGAAATACCTCTTTGAGACTCTGATTTCAATTTTGGCTATTTACCCAGAGGCAGGATACTAGAGTAAAATTCTATTTTTTTGTTGTTGGTCATGGGGCCTGAACTCTGGGCCTGGGCACTGTCCCTCAGCTCTTCAGCTCAAGGTGAGTGCTCTACCACTTGAACCACCGCACCACTTCCAGCTTTTTTCTTTTTGCTTATGTGGTGCTGAGGAATCGAACCCAGGGACTCAGGCATGCAAGGCAAGCACTCTACCACTGGAGCTACTTTCCCAGCCCAGTAATTCCATTTTTAAATGTTTGAGGAGACGTTTTCTGTAATCGTTACACTGTTTTACAGCCCCCACCAACAGTGCCCAGGACTTGTACTTCCTCTGCATTTTTGTCAGTACTTACTGTAAGATAATCTCTTTTGTAATTTTTATTTTAATTTCAATAATGACTAGTGCTATTGCACATCTTTTCCTCTGCATGTTGGCTATTTATCTGTTTGAAGACTTGTCAGTTTAAATTCTTTTCACATTTTTAATGTAATTTTGTTATCGAGTTGTAAGAATTCTTTATATATTCTGAATAATAACCCCATAGAAAATACATGATTTGCAAAGATTTTCTCTCATTTTATAGGATGTCTTTACATTCTTTTGATTGTGTCCTTTGACACATGAAAGTTTAAGTTTGATGCTGTATAGATGGTCTTGTTTTTCTTTTATCACTTATGCTTTTGGTATCATGAAAAAAACAATGCCAAATCAGCTGTTGTAAAGCATTTTCCCTTACATATGTTTGCAGAATGTGCATCATTTGGGATCTTATATTTAGTTATTTAATCCATTTTAAGTAATTTTGTTATATGATATCTAAGGGTCAACCTTCATTTTTATTTTTTGCATGCATATAGATATCCAGTTTTTCTAGCACCATTTGTTACTAGGTGATGAAGGAAGAGATAATCCTTTCTGAGAATAGTCTTGGCATGCTTATTGAGGATCATTTGACCATATCCAGGATGGTTAATTTCTAGGTTCTCTATTCCATTGGTCTATGTCTCTGTCTTTATCCTAAGACCACACTCTTTGATTATAGTAATGTATATGTGTCTTTGTGATACATTTTGAAATCATGAAGTATGAATCTTTATAAAATTTGTTTTGACTATGTAAAGACCTTGAGAATATGTATGAATTGTAGGATGAAGTTTTTCTATTTTTGCAAAAATTGCCTTTGAGATTTTAATAGGAATTTCTGTGAGTCTGTAGGTTGCTTTGAGTAGAATGGGCATCTTTTTTGTTTGTTTGTTTTTGGGTCCGGTCGTGGGGCCTGAACTCTGGGCCTGGGCACTGTCCCTCAGCTCTTCAGCTCAAGGCTAGTGCTCTACCACTTGAGCCACAGCGCCACATCCGGCTTTTTTCTTTTTGCTTATGTGGTGCTGAGGAATCGAACCCAGGGCCTTGAGCATGTAAGGCAAGCACTCTACCACTGAGCCACCTTCCCAGCCCCTAGAATGGGCATCTTAACAGCATTGAATTTTCGAATCCATTAACCCAAAGTGTCCTTTCACTTATTCATGTTGCCTTCAATTTCTTTCTATTTTGTAGTTTACAGTATAGAACTGTAATTTTATTATTATTTTTCCTGTTGCGGGACTTGAACTCAGGGCCTGGTGCTGTCCCTGAGCTCTCTCACCAAGGATAGCACATATTGGGCCTGTGAACAACTCCTTTATGGTACTTTATCTCCTGTTCCATGTTTCCCACAGTCCAGTGACTAGAATGCGAAGGCAGGCAAGGGAGGGTGTTGTGACAAAGCAATTGATAAGAGCTTCAGAGTCTCAGATTGGTAGAAGGAATAAATCAGACAATATCCATGACAAAACACTTTGTAACCCATCATAGCAAAAGAAATGACAGCAGTGGTAACACCTTTACTTGTTGATGTTGCTCGGAATGTATTTTGCCTCCACATCAGTCAGTCCGTCTTTCTGTGGTATACTAGTGGCAATGTCCTGTGCTTCAATGAGCAATGATTTATTTCCTGGAAGTCAGGCACTTGTCTAGGCACATCAAGAGAGTTCCTAGGTGTGTATAGCAATAGAGGAAATGCTTTACCTGAATGTCTTCTGTCCATCAGCTCTACCTGCATATGGCACTCTGCAAGACAGGATTGAAGGAAAAGAAAAACCTTCTACAAGAGAGCTGGAAGCAGGGGTGATATTTGAGAAGACAGGGGCAGGAGTATCTAGGGAGGGCAGAGGAATGCACACAGAGTATGCCAGGGACACAGAGGAACCTGATGACTTCACTTCTGGCCTTACATTTTAGGAACACCTGTTAGTTAGGAACATCCCCACCATCAGGCTATCTTTGAATGTCAGGATGCAAAATTTGCAATTCTGATGAAAGGAAGGCTCAGATGTACCCGCCTGGCCTGGCATGAGGAACTGGGAAGAGAGGGGACAGGGCACAGGGCATGATGCTCATGGGTTTCTTTCTTTCCCTCAGAACCATTTCATAGAATCAGCAATCCTTCATTTCTCTGAAGCCATTTCTGGATTCCTCAAAATAGATACCTCTGTAACTTGGTGAAGAAAACTTAATATGCAGCTACTACATATGCGAGCATGGATTTTCTGGTGACAAGTTTGCAGAACATGCCTTGAGTGCCTAAAAATATCTTTTTATTTTCTGGTAATAGGTTTGTGACTCCTATCCCACTGAAGTGTATGTTCCCAAATCAGCCACAGCACACATCATTGTGGGAAGTTCCAAATTCCGGAGTAGACGGCGATTTCCCGCCCTTTCTTACTACTATAAAGATAACCATGTAAGTCTCCAGACATGCCTTTGTTTTATGCTTTTCTTTACTTGTTTTTATCATATATGGGCATTTTTTAGTTGCCTTGTGACCTGGTGCGTGTATGCTTGAATAATCATTATTCTTTCCGGACAGGATCTCATATAGCTTAAATTGGCCTAAACTTAAGTCTGACCTCAAACTTGAGATCCTCCTGACTCAGCCTCCATAATGCTGGGATTACAGGTATTTGAATTCTCTTAAAAGTTTTTGGATGTCCCTAGGTATGCTATGACAACTTTGCCTCTTGTAGAAGTTGGCTTCCATATTTATTTGACAATAAAGTAATGGTGTAGGCTCAGACAATAACTGAAGTTAATCAACCATGTAATACTGTCATCTTCCACCCTTTCTGGAGGGCACTCTGTCTATTCCCGGAGGACCTTTTGTATGCCTGTTTCAGAAAGGCTCTGAAGCCCATCAGACATTCTTTTTCCTCTTTCTCTTTTCTCTTCCCCCCTTGTGTCCTTCCCCTTCCTCTTCTTCTTAGTCTTCCTTTTCTTCTATCTCCCCTCTCCTGTCTCTTTCTTCTCTCTCCTCTCTTTCTCTCTTTCCCTCATATGCTTTGTTTATTTGCAATACTAGGGTTTGAGCTTGGCCTTGGCACTTGCTGGGCAGGTGCTATACTGCTTGAATCACAGTCTCAGCCCTTTTGGCTTTTGCTATTTTTTTTGGATAAAGTCCAAAAACAATATTTTTGGAAGGAGTTCTCACTTGACTTTTTGTCTTTGCTGTCTTGTAATTGTGATCCACCCAAGTAGCTGAGATTATAGATGGGATCTGAGTAGCTGGTATCACAAGCCATACCTGTTCTTCACTAGGCCGAACTGCACAGCAACCAATTATAGTATAGAATAAATTATTTTCTGTATAAACGATTTTAGGTCTTTGAAGGTGTAAAAGAGAGATGTCTTCCTAAGCATTGCTACCTGGTCTAGTTACCCAGGGAAATACATAATATGCATGAGCACTTACACACTCTAAAATCTATTTTGTAGTGGAATAAGGATCAAATTTGTGTCTTGTTATAATGTTATATCTTAATACCTAGTTTGATTCTTACAAATGCGTCTAATTGGACAAGGACTTCTCATAAAGGGAAGCATTATCACTGAGAGTGGTTTTCTGTACTTACATGGAATACCAAAGTAGTTTTCCACGTGTTCATTGCTCATCAGAACCCATCCTTAGAACAAGCTATCTTCCATAAAAGCAAACAGGTACAAATTCCATAAATGTGCTTACTTTTTTTTCTTTCCTTTGGTGATTTGAGATATTTTAGGGGTAAGTGTATTTTTTTCTACCCCAGTAGAAATTAGGCTCATGAATAAGAATATAGATCACATCTTAAAGTTAAACTTGTAGCTCCAATGTATCAACCAAAGAACACAGTATATTTTGATATCATATCATGTTATGATATCTGAGGTCTTACTGAGCATTATTTGCTATATAAATGCCTCTGCTGAGGGTACATAAGTTCATTTGGATCATCTGTCACTGTGCATGGGGTTAGAATCATGTCCTGTTCATCTGTTGGTGGGTTAGATGGCTGCCAGCACAGACACCTGACCCTGTTTATTACTCACATACACTCACTGCTCAGGGGAGGAGGACGTCATGTGCCACAAAGAGTCTTATAGGGTTGCAGTGGAGAAACAGGGTGACCAAGCCAGAGGCTGGGACAGGCAGGAACTGAAACCCCATACTCAGGAGAGCAGGAGATGCCCTGTGTGTTAGATAAGGGCCATTGTTTAATGAGGAAACCTCACTAGAAGAAGATTGTGGAGAGTAACATATATTGTGGCCTCAGTTTTAAGAGATGTCAGAGAAACCATAACATTAATTTGAGGCCTACACCAAACACGAATTGTTTGGAACCAGTTGGAATCTAACAACTACAGACCACAGAGATGTGTAGATATCCCTTGAGTACAGAATTCTGGATATGTTTGTACTAGAGAGCCCTGAGAGATGTTTTACCCTTTGTTCTTAATTATTGTGATACAGTTTTTTTTTTGGGGGGGGTCCGGTTGTGGGGCCTGAACTCTGGGCCTGGGCGCTGTCCCTCAGCTCTTCAGCTCAAAGCTAGCGCTCTACCACTTGAGCCACAGTGCCACTTCCGGCTTTTTTCGTTTTGCTTATGTGGTGCTGAGGAATTGAACCAAGGGCTTCAGGCATGCAAGGGCAAGCGCTCTACCACTGAGCCACCTTCCCAGCCCTGTGATACAATTTTAAAAGAAGTTATTTTACTTTAGATTGCCACAATGTGGTCGCCACAATTCACAGCACAAACCTCTTAAAGATTTCCCAGGAGGCAGTTTTTCCTAAGAAGAATACAAACCTGTTCATGGTCATCACATATTGAAACTTCCTATGTGTTAGACACAGTTCTAGGAGTGTTACAGTGTTATATAACTTGTCACACCCTGTGATTTTAATATTACCTATTTTGTACATTAAATAAAAAGATTCAGAGAAAACATGTAAATTACCCAAGATTATATTGAATGAGAGTTAAACTACCAGCAATTCAAGCCAGATGATCTTGAATGCTTTTAGTGCTGTATCTGGCTATCTGACTTATTTCCTCCTGGGATGCTATATTATTTTAGTTAAGAATTCAGGATCAAGAACTACATTGTCTGGATTCTCAGTTAGTCTCAGTCTCCCCAGTTAGTAACTGTGTGGTCCTGACAGATTCCTTAATCTCCCCATGTCTTGTCAGTTCATCTATAAGTAATGAATCTTACTCCAAAAGTTAATTAAAGAGATTAAATAAGCTGTAAAGTAGTGTCTGCCACATAGCACTCAAGATGTGCTGGATATTATTTTGTGAATGTGCCAGTCTTGGGGCTTAAACTCAGGGCCTGGTCTCAGACCCTGAACTTTTTTGCTCAAAGCTAGTGCTCTACTACTTGAGCCACAGCTTCACTTCTGGTGTTTTTGGTGGTTAAATTGGAGATAAGTGTCTCATGGGCTTTCTTGCTAGGAGCTGGTTTTGAACACAGTTCTCAAATCTCGGCCACCTGAGTAGGTAGGTTTACAGGAGTGAGTCACTGATGTCCAACAAGAATATTTTAATTATCAATAGAATTGTGAATCAGAGACTCCTCTGGAAATGGGTTAGAATGTTAGGAACACTTTTAGGTACTGATGGTTTACTTCTGTAATCCTAGCTACTTAAGAGTCTCAGGTCTGGAGCATGGTAGTTCTAGGCCAGCCTGGGAAGAAAAGTCTGCTAGATGCCATTTCAAAATAACTAGCTAAAAGCAAGGGTGGTAGAGTGGTAGAGTGGTAGAATGTTAGTCAAGAAAACAAGCCTAGCAAGCTCAAGGCCTTAAGTTTAAACCTCAGTACCAAAACAACAACAACAAACAAAACAGAAATGTTACTAGATGAAGACTATACTCTCTCAATAACCAAACTTTTACAGATATGTATAGGGCTCACAAAAGTACTCAGAAACTACCTTACAGTCTCTTCAAAGCTGAGGTATATAAACGATCACTGAGTTGACAAAGAATTCCATCGGAACACATCACAGGTATTAAGAAAATTGCAAAAATACCAAAATTTAGTCTGGTATATCCATTTTGCTGGGGTTTTTTTTGTGTGTGTGTGTAAATCTGTTCTTCCTAACTCTTCATTTAAAGGTAGTTGCTGGGCTGGGCATGGTGGAAAACACCTGTAGTCCTCAGTATTGGGGAGGTAGAGCTAGGAGGATCATGGTCCAAGGGTAGCCTAGACAAAAGAGCTGCAAAACAAATGAAAAGAACTAGGGATATGGCTCAAGTAGGCACTGAAATGAATCACCAATATCACATAGACACACACACACACACACACACACACACACACACACACTATTTATCTGCTTTCCTCTAGAAGGCAGTTAGTAACAGTTGTAGTCACTAATTCTCTTCATTTCATAATCAGAATCTCACTGGTTTAAAGAGTTTAGGTGAAAAGAATTTTCAAATTCTTTGCCTTTAAAGCTCCCACCCTCCTCTCTTCTGATGGAATCTAGATCGCCTGGTGGTAGTTGTTTTTAACTAATATTTTGCTAACCCAGAAAAAGTTCCCTAAAAAAACCAACTCAGAACTATTTTCTTTCCAGTCAGAATTCTCTCACAGCAGGGTGACAGATCCTGATTCCTTAAGGATCCAGAGTGGGACTCCAATGCAGGCTGGCTGTGGCAGTTCCCTGCTGTCCATTGGACACACCAACCTCCCACCAATCCCTGGTGACATGTCATCTTACTAATGGATCTTGCCCTGGCTCTCTGCCCTCTGCCATGTTCTGACTCTGGTCCCTTTTTCCCCTCCTCACTGTTCAAGACTTATACAGCAGCCCCTTTACTTTGCCTTCCCTTTCCCATACACTGCCCTCCTGATTCCGAAGCAAGTCCAGTGTCCTTGAACCATATCAGCCGTTGCCTATGTGAGGACAGAATAATACCAGAAGTGGTGTGGTCACTGTTCTATGATTCTTACTTTTGAGCTAATGAGAAGTAAGCCCTTTTTCTCTAGTGAAGAGCACTGAAGCTTGTGTTTTCCTGGAGAAACCCAACCTTTTGCTGTGTTGTCATGGGCTGGGCTTTTAGGACAGGAGAGTTAGGGTTGATCTCAGAGGGAGTGGGCGATGTTGAAAGATGACTGTTTGCACTGTTTTGTTCCTTAGCCTGCCCCGAGGCTGACCGTTGCTATCTGCATCTTCTTACAGTAGAATAAGCCATCTCAGTTGTAGATTCTGAGTTAGTCATGTGTTTCATTCAGATTCATATTTACTTTTTTAAGAAACACTACCCCACGATATACAAGACTAAGCAGTCTCAGTATAAATTTCATTGAGTCATTCATATATTCCATTCATAGATTCATATTATTTTAAAAAACAGCCAAGTCCACAAAAAATACCGTGAGTACATTCATTTATAGTTTCAAGGTTATCACAGTTGGTTGCTAATCATTCAGGGAACGTTGTATCAGCTAATGAGGCCATCTATAGTCACTCCTTGGGGTCTGTGGAAGATTGGCTCTAGGATTCCCATCATGTACTGAATCCTGAGGATACTGAAGTCACTTACATATAAATGGCATAGTATTTCCATCTGCAACCTGCATACATCTTCCTGAGTACTTTCAATGGTCTCTACATTACTTCTGTACTAGTTAAGAAATAATGATGAAAGGATCCTAACATATTTAGTGCAGACAGGTTTTACTCTAAATATTTGGCCACAGATGGCTGAATCCACAGATGGTTGAATTTCTCCACAGATGGAGAAGTAGGGCTTGCAAGTGCAAAAGGATGACTCCCCTGTGTTAGAATTACAGGATAGGGAAATCCCGAGATTAAATGCAATTGAGTCTGAAGAAATTCCTTGTTTCTCAACATGCCTAGTGCAGGTATATGTCTGATGTTTTTAGGCACCAAAGCTAGTAACCTGGACCGTGTGAAATTTTAACATGTAGAATTAGGATTGATGTTTTTAAATAGACTAGTTTTTAAATGATGATTAAAACATTTTTTTTTTTGGTACTGGGGATCGAACCCAGGACGTTGCACTTGCTAGGCAAGCGCTTTGCCACTGAGCTACATCCCAGCCCAATTAAAACATTTTTAATAATCTTGTTGTTAATAGCAACCTGTAAGTTTGAGTAGTCATTTATTTTGTAGCTATATTTCTAGCAGGAAACTGAAAGAATATCAGGGAAAAGGAAAGTAGGTTATTTAAATGGCTACAGTTTCAAGAGGTGGATCTTATCTAAACATCTTACACACATTCCTAGTATTGTACAGAGAGTTTTGTTACTGCTTGCCCATGTAGTGGTTTCTTTGACCTGATTTGAAAATAAACAAACCTTGACTTCCACAGTTTTATCGTATTTTCACAAGCTGGCATGGGGTGAACGAAAGTGCTCTGAGACCCCGAGGGTCTCTGCTGGGTGCAGTTGCCTGATGGTGCCATGTTGTTGTGCCCTTTCCCCACAGGCCTCCATCTGCCGCAGTAGCCAGCCCCTCTCTGGCTTCAGTGCCCGGTGCTTAGAAGACGAGCAGATGCTTCAGGCCATCAGGAAGGCTAATCCGGGAAGTGACTTCATTTATGTTGTGGACACGAGGCCTAAAGTAAGTGTCACTATTCGGAGGCATGTGAGGAAGCTGAAGTTAAGTCAGATCCTTTAGGCCCCCATCACTTGTTCTGATTGCTTTATCAGCAAAAGAACAGTTTCTTTTATGCCGTCAACACGTGGGCTTCCTGCCTGAGTTCCTGAATGCCTGACTGTGTTGAGTCCCATTCTGTTTCCTCTGCTCCTGGTTTACACTGGACACATGATGAATAAGTGCAGGTTAATATCAGAGACAACTCCCCTAATATATGCAGTTATCATCTGATTTGTTTTTAAAACATGTCTTTCTGCTCTGACAGCATGAGATTGACTATGGAGCTTGAACTCTTCAATTGTTGTGACATATGCAGCTATACTTTTTCCAATTTTACTTGTAGTGATCCTATACTTATGATTGAAAAGATCTACAAAACATTATGTTAAGTTAAAAATGAAGCAAGCTACAAACTAAGATGCATACTATGTTTATGGTTTTTTTTTTTGGAAGAAAACTACAGGCATATAAAAATATATAGAAAAAAGGTCTGGAAGGATAAGCCCTAAGCCATTAAAGTACCATGGAGAAGAGAAAAGGATTAGAGGAGGTTTAGAACTTTCTACTTGTCTCTTCTTTGGCAACATATCATAATTACCATTGTATTAATTTTTTAATTTATGAAAGCATCTAGTTGGAAATAATACTAGTCACCAAGAGATAAGCAATGTACCTCAAATTCAGCCTTAGTTTTGTTTAAGCAGACTCAGTGTTGGGTGCAATACAATTGCCAATTTTGTTCCTTAGACTCAATTTTTTTTGAAAGCAATAAGCAAATGGAGCTCTCGGAGTGGAGTGCTAGTGAAAACTTGGAATCAGGTGGTAAAGCACCAGCTATGAAAAACCTAAAAGAGAGCATTCTGGCCCGGAGTTCAAGCCCTAGAGCCAATATAAAAACAAAAACAAAGCAAACATAAAAAACAAAAAAAAACCCAAACCCCAAAAAACCCTGAAAAAAAAATAACTGAAGAGGGATGAAGGAAGGGAGAGCCAAAGAGAGGGAGAAGACAGAATGAAGTGTCCTTCTTCAACATATCTGGCATTGTAATCTCTAGCCAGTCATGAAAATATAACTGGGTATATGAATGATGCCATGTAAAAACGTGTATGAATAACTTCATTATTAATAATAACAAAACAGAATAACTGAGTGTTCAACTTAGAATGGAGTATTGTGGTCTATCCATTCAGTGGAATGTTATTCAAGTATAAAAAGAAACGAGATACTGATAAAAGTATAATATGGCTGACGATTGAAAATGTTATGCTAGGGCTGGGAAGGTGGCTCAGTGGTAGAGTGCTTGCTTTGCATGCATGAGGCCCTGGGTTCGATTCCTCAGCACCACATAAGCAGAAAAAGCCAGAAGTGGCACTGTGGCTCAAGCAGTAGAGCGCTAGCCTTGAGCTGAAGAGCTGAGGGACAGTGCCCAGGCCCAGAGTTCAAGCCCCATGACTGACAAAAAAAAAGAAAAGAAAATGTTATGCTAAGTGAAAGAAGGCAATCACAGAAGTCTCTCATTGTAAGATTCCTTTTATCTGAAATGTCAGGAATAAGCAAATTAGTAAGGAAAGACACTGTTGCCTAGGGCTGGTGGCTGTTAATGAATAGGAGATTTCTCTTTAGAATAATGCAGATGTTCTAAATGTTGAAAATGAACTTTACAATTTTGGTGGGGGGAGGAGTTGGGGAGGTGGGGAGGAAAGGGATGGTAAGGGAAAAATAAAGGAGGGTGTAACAATGCTCCATAGGAAATGGACTCATTACCTTGCTCATGTAACTGTAACCCCTCTGTACAGTATCTTTACAATAAAAAATATATATTAAGAAAAAAATAAGAAAACATTATGGTGAAAGTTGTAAAATTACATGAATATTCCAAATTCTGCATCATTGAATTGTACCTTTTAAATGAGTGAGGTGGACAATATATGAATTATGTCAGTGTAACAATTATTCATGTTATTTTGTAATGTCTGTCAATGTATTCATGTTATTTTCCAATAACATGAATAAATAAGAAGAATTAGAAAGTGAAATAATAGGATCAAATATTGGAGTTACTTAGATTATATACCACAGTTATTTATAGACATAGTCTACTTTGGTAGGTGGAATGAGAAATAATGAGACTGGGTGTGATCTTTGCGTAGCTCCTTAGAACCTGATAATGTACTGTTACTCTGAGCCTCATTTCACCAAATTCTGTGATTAGTACACTAGATCACTTAATCTGCTGTTTTTGCAGTGTAGTATCAGTGTCCTAGTGGCCTGAGTAGTTAGGATTGAGTTCACTCTTAGATGTCACTCAGTGAATCAGCCATGAAGAACGACAGTGACATATGATGGTAGGTCACATTTGCATTCTAGCAGATTATATAGCAAGGGTCCCTTTCTTTTAAATAAAATTGCAAAGCACAATACACAGATACAAGCTTCAAATCAGAAACAGAAGCAGCTTCTCTGCTTGACTGTATTCACTTGCAAGAAATCTACTGTCCCTGTTCTCTTTCAACTTGACCTTTGCTTTTGGCTTGCATTTTAACCTCTTCCTTAGAACTGCCTTTGCTTGTCCTCCTGTATCTTTTGTATAATTAAAATTGAGCTGCTTTGAATTTCCTAGTAGTTGCAGATGATGGACTGAATGCCTGCTTCTTAGATACCTAGAGACGAGAGATGAAAAGAAAAGACAGAGCCTTTATCAAGTAGAGACTAGAAAGTTTTTTGTTTTTTGTTTTTCTATCCTGCTTTTCCAGCTTTAAATGCAGGCACACAGTCTGGTGCTAATTTAAGAGCTAGTAAGGCAACTTTGTACTATGTTATATAAGCCTTCCCTAGAATGTAACAGCTGTAGGGCCAGGCATATTCCAGATTTAAAACAAATTAATCAAAGGATTTGATCTGCAGTGTATATTTAGCACTCCATGTGTTTACTTTCAGCAATAAGTAGTTTGACGCTGGTGCATTAAAGAAAATTGGTGACTCTAATGCTTATCCGTGCACATGCACTTCACATGATTTTTAAACTGTTTGCCTCCAGCTTTCATTCTATTGTATCTATTGTATCTATTGATTTATGTCCCAGAGTGTGTTAGACTTCTTCGGTAGCCAGGACACTGAGCCGATGTTTGCTGCAGAAATGTAGACCATAGCACATGGTCACTTTCCAGGTTTGTTCACAGGTTTAATTAAAAGAGAAGGCTTGGGAGGGAGACCTTGTCATTCAAGCAAGGCTCAAACATTTGTTTGATGAAAGCTTAGTAAATTTTCCTGACACTGCAGTAATAGCAGACAAAAAATGGTGTGGTTCTCACACATGTACAGTATTGAATATGTGTTCAAAAATGATGTCCTTGAGGTCACATATTACTGCTAGAGTTTGGTGCTTTAAGAAAACACATTTAAAAAAGTAGTGTAACTTTTGTTGAATTGTAGGTTGAGGAGTAGCTCATTTTTATCTCAACCTTGTTCATGAATTTATCACATGTTCTGGAAACTTGCTGAGCTTTCAAAAATGCCAGGTGCTTTCTCTTTTAAATCTTACAAGAATCCTGCAGATTAGGCTTTCTTCCTTTCTTAAGATTAAAGAGATTAAATAATACACCCAAGACCACACAGTTCAGGGCAGATACCAGATTCAGAGATAGGTCAATCTGACTCCAGAGCCAATGTTCTTTGTGTTTGACCATGGTGGTTTTTCTGTTTGCAAAGACAATCTCCAGTGAAACCTTATACACACTTGAAGGCTCATGAGGGTTACCATGGCTGACTTGAGCACAGTCCCAGTGAAGTTAGAGGTGCAAAATCTCAAGGACCAACCGTGAGTTCATCTAGAATCAAGCCAGGGCCAGAGGAGCTGTGAAGAAATGTTGAACCATGAAAAGAAGGAGCAAGGTTAAAACAGGCACCTGTCTGTGTTGATGTTCAGCCTTTTGTTCTTGCTCCCTTGCCAAAGATTTGCTTCATAGCTGTGGGCTCTGATTTCATCATGTCAGTGATTTTTTTTCATTATGTAATAGGATGTCACAGGAGGTGTTTTCCTCTTTCTTTGGAACTGATGATGAGGTAGTATCTACTCACTGAATCCTGGAAAGGTATCTCTAAGAAATACAAGTGTGAAGATTATGGGCGACTGCAAGAACAGAGGCTAGGATCCAATTTTCGAGTTCAGTGTAAGAAGTTAATTGGTGCCTGCCATTGTGGTAATGTGCAGATGAAAGCTGATAGAAGGTAGCAGCCTGTATAGTGGCAGTAGAGAAATCTGCATGCCTGCTCAAGTATGGGGGAAATTTCTCTGGGTCAGACTGGACCTAAACCATCTGGCTAGACCCTTTTTTAAAAATACATTTTTTATTATAAAAATACTGTACAGAGGGATTATAGTTCATGAGTAAGGTAATGAGTACATTTCCTATGGAGCATTATTACCTCCTCCTTTGTTTTTCCCCTACCATCCCTTCCCTCCCTGCCCCCACCCCCACCCCCACTCCCACCAACATTGTAAAGTTTGTTATCAACACAGTGTCTTGTACATCTCATTGTTACAGTGGGTCAACCTGCATCCTTATTTCAGCATCTTGTTATTTCCCTTCCCCTCCTCAAATTAGAAAAAAATGTATATACAAGATGCAGGGTACCACAATCAAATACAGTGAAAACAGGAGTGCTACCTTGGGGGAAGAACATACAAAAGAAACAAAAAAAATCACATAGTACATTATAAATACGTTAGAAATTTGCTAGACCTTTTCTAAGAGGGCTTGTACAATGGTAATGTACTGAATGCACCATGTATACTGGAAGTGTACTGTGACTGTAGTATATATTGTGTATACTATAATGCCAGGGAAGCCCAGAAGATTGGAATAGGCTCATGCCAAGGTGGCTGTTCCATGTCAGTGAAATGTGTTCTTGCTACCTACAAGAACCCTTATATAGAGGCTTTAGGAGATTCAGCGATTGGACA